AAAACAGAGCTCATACCATGGTCCATTTCAAAGATTTACCTACTATATAAGAATGCACACAGAATAAACTCTATTTATGTGCAATAACCTCCAAATCATTGGTAACAATTGGACCTATAATCTTTTGTTACCCGAAAAGGCTAGAATATGTCATTTTATGCAATCGTTATACCCTACACCACGGCGCGCGTAGCACTGCGCCGCGCGCCTCCCAAAACGACGTCGTTTTGGGAGGCGCGGTAGGAAGTTGTTGTGATTATGTATATTTGTTCCTACAATTATGTATATTTGTTCATACAATTATGTACATTTTTTATACAATTATGTACATTCTTTTTATACAATTATGTACATCTGAATCATGAAATTGTTGTGTATTATGTCAAGAGTTGATGTGTATTATGATAAAAGTTTATGTTTATTATGTATTATGTTAGATTATGTGTATTATCTTTTAAAAAAAAATATGTATATTTTGTTATATAATTATGTACATTCATGTATACAATTATGTGTATTCTAGTATAACATTATGTACATTTTTTAACATGAGTTTTTTTTAAGAAAAATTATATTAATTGCCAAACACTGGGACGGGAAATTTCAAAAATAAAAATAAAAATTGAAACGACGTCGTTTTGCATCTGAGCGCACAATGCAACGCGCACCGTGGTGCAGGATATAAATTGCCCATTTTATGTTAATAGTTGCTAGCCATCTACAATTGGCTCAATCGGGAACCACCTATTAGGCTTCAAGGCAGCTGGAAGTGGCCCTCTACAATGCATCCAAGAACCACTACGTACGCAGTTCGAGAAGCCCTCGCGTGGATCAAAGATCGTGGCCTGACTGGTGTGCGAGTGGAGTCGCCGAGTCGGACTGTTTACTTCTTTATGTTATTACGAACTACTAGTATTTGACCCGTGCGCTGCACGGTATGTAAATTAAAAAGTATTAATTGTGTGTATGTTATGTTACAATTTGTGTGAACTAATGCGGTTAAAATTTATATACTACATCTAGAGTTGGAGTCAAAATAGCATGATTATGAAAATAGTTGAAATCAGTGTTACCACTACAAAACATAAGAAATGTGCTATCAACAATTGTACCAATGGGATCATCATTACAGTGCAACAAAAAATGGTCGGGAATAGTAATATCGACTTCACCGTCAGATGAATTCCCAACTACTCCATCACCAATATTTGCAATCCGCAATGATTGTGTAACAAATAAGTTATCATTTACAAAAATAAGCCACCACCCAACGATTAATTAAAAGTAATAACTACAAATTAAAAATATTTAAGTATAACAAATTTTACTTGGAGGATTGTGTCATTCTAGATTTTCAGAGCAAAACTATACTCCCACACCAAGTAAAATTTGCTATACTTAAATACTTTTAATTTGTAATTATTACTTTTAATTAATCGTTGGGTGGTGGCTTATTTTTGTAAATGATAACTTATTTGTTACACAATCATTGTGGATTGCAAATATTGGTGATGGAGTAGTTGGGTATAGTACAATTACCCTTCATTAACTGTTTATAATTATATTAAATAAGCAAATGTTAATAATAAAATATATTATTATGATATGAATCTATCGCATGGAAACTTTTTCCCATATATGTGTGTGTGTGTGTATTTAACTTTTTTTTTTCAACGAAAAACATGTTTTATTGGCGACGAATAGCCCGATGCGTGGCAAAACCCTTACATCAAAAAATAAGGCCAGCTTAGCCGCAGAAGGCAGTGAGTGTAAAGTATGAAAAATTTTTGAAGTGTTAAAACCGAGGCCAGCTGTTGCAAGAGCGTCCGCAACGTGATTGGCTTCCCTGTAAATATGTCGAATACTGGAACCCCATAAACTAAGAGTGGATCGAACGTAAGAAACTGCTGGCTCAATTCTCCAAGGAATCCTTGTATCGTGCGCAGAGATCAAGTTGGCAAGAGAGAGAGAGTCGACTTCCACAGCAAAAGGAGCCATGGCAAAGGCAGCACACCATTGTACAGCCAGCTGAAGAGATAGAGTTTCCGCTTCCATGGCTGACGAGGCCTCAAAGCGGAAGCATAAGCCTACAATCAGTTGGCCACGAGATCCCCGAACGCATGCTCCACCCGCTGCCCCAGCATCCGAAAAAATAGCATCTGTGTTTAATTTCAATCTTCCTTCGGGTGGGTGAAGCCATTTTACCCAAATTGTTGTACGCTGCAGCGGGGGCAGCAAAGCCCGTAACGAGACCAGCCGATACAAGGAAGTCACCATTGCCCCACTCTTTTTAATCGGGTGAGACAGAGATATTAAAAAGGCCTCCCTCTTAATCATGTGAATGGAGCCGGCTGGTGAAAAAGCAGTACCCTCGTGAAGGCAGACATTGTAGGCCTTCCATAGGAACCATAAGATGAGGCAGGGGAGCAGTTGCGCATAAAACATTGTAGCAGATCTGGCTGGAGCCAATAACCACCATGAGTGACACTGCGAACGTATCGAGCTGGCAACGGCCCTCGACAATGCAAAAATATCAGCAAAATAAATCCAGACATCTTGTACGCTAGCACAACTGAGGAGGCAGTGATCTAGACTGGCAGAATCCCTCCGGCAAAATGGGCATACCGAGGGCATTGAAAAACCAAACCGCTGTAGAGTATCTGGAAACGGCAGCAAACGGCGTAGCAATCTCCACATGAAAATAGACACTTTTGAAGGCAGCCCCCGCCCCAGATACAGGAGGCGGAAAGACAGCGACCACCTGTCGGTCGAAGCGCATTGTATGCTGAATGATTTACTAGACGCCATCTTTTTCTCGGAGGGACAATATGCGGCTGTTTGAGGGGCGCTGGTTCATTCTGATGGCCAGTGGGAGCATCACGATGAATTGAAGATTGAGAACGGCATTCTGAGTCCTGATGCCCAAATTTTCGGCACCCCAAGCAATATGGTGGTACAAATTCATGGACTATCCTCTGCGTAAAACCTCCGTAAGAGCCATTATTGATCCAGACTTGTTCGACGAGAGGTAAACTTACGTTGAGCTCCACACACACCCTAGCTACCGACGGGCGGTTAGGTACTAAGGTGGAGGTGTCGACTTTAAGGGGGTTGCCCACCAGATTAGCAATCGAGTAAATGGCCCGCTTGTCGTGGAGATGAGCCGGCAAGCCTTCCAACGCTAGCCAAACAGGAATAATGGGAGACTCAACATCCGGGCGAAAATCTGGCGTCCAGCGAAAGACTCGCATGAGGGATCCCTTGATCGACCATGTCTTTCGAAGCCAGCAGCGCTGGAAATCGATCTCATGATCAAAGTTTATCAGAATGTGCCTCTGATCGATCAGGCCTAGAGTGAAGGCGCCACCAAAGCCAATTTGGTCAAAAGTCTTGCGAAGATCAGCCATCGGCGGGCGACTTTTTGCGAATTTGCCTACTAGTGCAAAACGAAACTTCTCAGAGAATTGTTGTACGTCGTCGTCTGAGAAGGAGACCGCGGGCATACCCTTATAACGCCTCGGCGGCCGGAGAGGCGAGGATTCAGATGATTTCGATAGAATATCAGCAAAAGTGCGGTGAGGGGGCGCGGCGGCCCCCGGCGGTGCCGCCATCAGAAGCACGCAAAGACAAAGATTGTGTGTATTTAACTTCTGCGGGCTTATAATAAATTTAAATTATATAAAAACGCTTAACGTTAGATAGAGTACTACTTGATTATTGTACATGTGCGATGCACGGATATGACTTATACAGTAATAAAAGTTTAGTAGTTTTTATATTAAATTTGATTTTCATAAAAGTAATCAATTGCAAAAATTTATACTATAGATCCATAATTTCTATACTATAGATCCATAATTTCTATACTGTAGATTCATAGTTTCTAAACTATAAATTCATAATTTCCATACTATAGATTCATAATTTCTATACTATAGATTCATAATTTCTATACTGTATAGTTATCAAATTATGAACATATAGTTCAGTGATTTGTGAATACAGAGTTCAACAATTGAGAATATAAATATTGAAAATTATGAACATAGAGTTCTGTAATTGTGAATATAGAGTTCAAAAATTATGAATTTATAATATAGAAATTATGAATCTATAATATAAAAAGTATGGATTTATAGTAGAAAAATTATGGATCCAATTCCGTATGTACCATGCATAATGCACACAGTTGCACAACATAATTTGCCTAAAACCACTATACAATTAAATATCTATACACAAACATATATGGAATCTGAGCGTAAATTACAAACTATTAAAATTAATATTACAAATTATTAAAATTTGTAATATTGCAATATTATTAAATTTGGAATATTTGAATTTTATATTGAAATTCAATTTCACAATTAAAGTACAATATAAGATACTAATCAGAACTAATAGCTTAGTTTTCAGAATGAACTAATTTCACTTTTGGTCCGACGACTTTAGAGGTTCTATCATTTTTGATGCACAACTTTAAATTTTTTCAATTTTGGTGTCTAATTTTGTTGTTTTTATCAATTTTGGTCCTTTCGACCAAATTGACAGCGAAATATTGCCGAATTTTACATTTTAGGGGCAAAATCGTCATCCCAAAGAAAAATATTCAATATCTAAACAAAAGAAAAATCATGTTAAGAGAAATATAAGAGTTTGGCAATCGTCGATGCTATAAATCTCATAGATCTGTGTCTAGTTTCTGTCCGTCTTCTCAATTATTCTCATCGATCAAACACCTATAGATATGATTTTAGAGTGATTTTGTTTAGATATTGAAGATGTTTCCTTAGGATGACGATTTTACCCCTAAAAATATAAAATCCGGCAATATTTCGTCGTCAATTTGGTTGAAAGGACCAAAATTGATAAAAACAACAAAGTTAGGCACCAAAATTGAAAACTTTTAAAGTTGTGCACCAAAAGTGATAGATCCTCTAAAGTCGTGGGACCAAAAGTGAAATTAATTCTTTCTAGAATCATCTTCACTCTCACTCACTGCACCTCTGCATCTCGCCTCTCTTAAGCTCACAAACTAAGAACTCTCTAGACACTCCTCACAATACTTAAGCTAAGTTTAGTGATTTACACACTACATATTTTCCATTGGAGATCTACCTCTACTGCTTTTTTTTTTTCTTTTTTTTTTCTTTTTTTTTTTTTTTTTTAAGTTAGGGTTCTTTCCTAGCTAATCTCTGAGAAGCAATCCAGAAATTCCAACTGTCTGAGTGGTTTTGTCAGGTATATTAGATTGAAGAAGATGAATATGGCCTACCAAATCTGGAAAATTCAAGACGCAGGTTCGTTTGATATATGGGTCTGTTCTGATGGTCATAAAATTGGTAATATTTTTCTCAAATTGAAAAATTTTCTGGTTTAAGGGGATAATTGCATGCATTCGAATCTGGATAGTCCACTGTAAACTCCTTCATCTCATCTTGAATCTATATATATTTTTAATAGATTTAGTTTAGTTCTCTCATACAATGATCGTATTCACCATTCATCAACTCCAAAGCTATGAATTTTTACGGCTTATCTTATGGGCAGCCATTGATGATCTAATTAAACCTCGGGTTTGCAGTGAAATTATCCACGTTAGATTCGGCTTGAACCTTCGGATCAACTGTTTCCTGTTCATGTTTGTGTTGTTGTTGTTTCAGCTATTATTATTGGTTATGTAGGCTGGGTTGATGATGATTTTTCTACAGTTCATCGGGATGGAGGGACCCGACCCGGGGCAAACTCCCGGTCTGCAGCCATGGCGGTATGGTTTCTCCATTACCAAATCTGAGCTTATTTTCTGCTCCATATAATTTCAAAAATTAAACTCCATATAGGCATTTTGCTCATAGTATTTTAATTATGTTAGAGTCACTTGGAACTGCAACTCTTGATTTTGGAGTACATATATATAGTTGGTTTGATGTATTTGGAAACTGTGTCTTAATTATTAATATTAATAATATTTTAAAATACAATTGTCACCGTGCCTCTATCTCTGTCAATCCATCGGTTCCATTTCCAGAAGGTTCACTTTACCTTCATCGTCTCTGCGCTTTCTGTTTCGTCACTCTGAAACTCCACCATTTTAGCTCGAATCCTACTCCATACCACACAGCTCGCTTGCGATTCTTGTCAATCGCAAGAGCATATGGTCGTATATCATAGTTTTCGTGGTTTTTCAAGCCCTATTTTAGATGTGTAGATTGTAGCAGTTTCCTGAAATTTCTAAGTTGAATCTTGCAGCCAAGGTAAGTTTTATACTATATCATTCTATTAATTTATATTCTATGAAACAAATCATCCTAATTTTATTAGATACAGGCAACCCTAACAGTTTAAGCTTGATTTCTACATGATCAATACATCCCAAGTCCTCTTAGAGTATGGATCTTTGGAAATAGTGACTTGGAAAGCACATGCAGATCATTTTTGTGTATGAATTTCTTACAAAGGTGGGTATGTTCACTATTTGGAGGTGTATTTGCTGGAGTGGCCGTTTTATACTCCGATTACCTACAAAATACTTTCAATTTCTTGGTGGAATTGCTCATAGCATTAGACTTTCTTAGTAATGATAGTATGATACTAAAAGTTTTGTCCCACCTTTAATGTGCATGATTGAAATTTATCCAAGTTGAATTATCAGGTTAAATTTTATCTACTTGTACTTTCTTTTGTCGCACATCTAATTGCATAGTGTTTCACATCTACTTTATATATGTGATACTTGTATGTTTTGTCTGTTGTGTGTCCTGCTTATTTACTAACATCACATCCTAGTTTTTGCAAATGATGAAATTTACTTTTGATGCTATATACAGAATACTTATTAAGTTCTCTACTATGGACCGCAGAATGCTTACCTAACACTGAGTAGGAGTCTGAATATGGATCTTTGAAATTATCACGTGTATCTTTAAATTGAAGTTCATGTACCCCAATCACAATGAGCCTGGGTTGCTACTATCCAATCACTTATCCATCTCAGAACGATTGAATTGCAAGTAGAAAACTGTAGTTTTTGTTTCAATTTCTATTGTTTGTACTTTGAAGATATACTATTAGAGTCTTTATGACACACTACCATTTTGATTTCTACCTTTGCAACATAGTTCATACTATTATTCTACTCAGTATTTAAGTGCTTACTGTGTGTCATGCAGTTCAGAGTAACATCCCTTTGTAGTTTTTTTTAAATGATACTGCCAAATTCTGATTTTATATACAGAATATTCCCTAAGTTGTCTATGCTGAAGAGCACAGCATGCGTACGGAACACTGAGTAGTAGTAGGATGTATTGATCTGTTTATTTATCACACATGTATTTTGAAATTTAAGTTGATGTAAACTTTGCACAATTTGTTTTTCCAAGTTTCTACTTTTACATTCACAGTACACACTATTACAGACTGGGTTGCTGATATCAATATGGTACCTCATCTTTTCTTTCACAGTATAATATATACTATTATAGACTTGATGACACTTTATAATTTTGCTCCCTACATACTTTTGACATAGTATGTGACTACATTCTCTTCTTAAGTAATTACTGTTTCTTGTAAGTATAAAGTGTAGAGTTAGATATCTATTTCAATTTTCAAGATTCTTCTCCTCTAATTATTTGAGTCGTCTTCCTTAGCTCGCCAATGTTCTCCTCTGCAACTGAGATCAGAAACTTGGTTCAATTTGATCTCTGTCAGCTGGACATGTTCTATAGATGGATCAAGGCTTGTTTTTACATTCTCATATATTGGTACTCTTTATAGTTAGTATGAGTTCTCTCAATCAAGAAGAAATTCAAGAAAACTGCATCAATACAGAACCTGGGAGAACAGATACTCACCATGCTCGGAATCTAAAAGCTAAGTTTGATTAAACCTATTTTAATCATTACCTACTACATATGCCAGTAATTACATTTCCAGATCTATGTTTAATTTAGATCCTTAATTTCTAAACAGTTAAGAATTTTTTATTGTCTATAAATCTTGGGTTTTTTCTAATTGCATGTGTGATTTAAACTACATTTTCCTCATATCTATGCCAACGATTACATTTCCAGATCTGTGTTTAATTTAGGTCCTCAATATCTAGAGGGTTATCCTGTTGTCTATAAATCTTTGGTTTTTTCTAATCGCATGTGTGATTTAAACTACATTTTCCTAATATTTATACCAGCAATTACATTTCCAGATCTGTGCTTAATTTAGGTCCTTAATATCTAAACAGTTAAGAATTTCTGATTGTCTATAAATCTTGGGTTTTTTCTAATCGCATGTGTGATTTAAACTACATTTTCCTCATATCTTCAAAATAGATAGATGCATGTTTGATATATCATCAAATCTGAGACTTTAAATTAGTATTAGCTTCTCCATTCCATGATTTTTAACTTTGATTGTAGTTCATAGTTGTTTTCCGAGAGATTTGTGCGATTCTAGATGATTCATTTTAGAATCGCAGTTGGCTTTCTTTTTTATTTTTTGTTTTTACTACTATATATTGATATATTGACACATATCCTACGAATTTCTAAATTGGTTTTTGAACTACATCCCCAGCTTAGAGATGGAAGAAGGAACAGATTCATCCACAATTGGGAGTAGGTGTTTCACACTAGGTATGTGTGATTTAACATTTAAAGATTCATGTAGTAGGTGTTTCTTTTTACAAATTGGTTGCTCAAATGTGATTTTAAGTGTTAATTCTATCACTCATGAAATATTTGTATTTGTAATTTACCTGTTTCTTTACAAACTTTATTTGTATTCCACATCAATTTGCTTGCTAATATATAAAATACAGTATAGATCTAATCTACACTTGGATTAGATAAGAACTAATTTAGATAATTTAAAAAACTTCTTATCTGGCCACTGTTGGTGTACATTCTGCCTTTCGAACTTGTCCTCATATTACTCCCATCAGCTTACTTATCTGGGAAGACAGGATTGTTCTTCTTGATTGTGTGAAACTTGCATTCTATGAATATTTTTCTCCTACAACATTTCAAAGTATAATAAATAAACACAATCTATTCTATGTTTGAAAATTTTTTCAGCATACAAATGGTAAAATGATAAAGAAGATTTCAATAAGAGGTAACAACCATAATTGAAATAAGTATAACATATAAGTTGAATTAAGCATTGAAATCACGTATGCATACCTCTATTTGCAGAAATGTGTTTTTTTTCAGCACATGCTTCTTTGTTAATTGTAGCATCTTCCCTTCCCTGACCAAATTATTTGTAGAATTCACCTTGACATTTTCACAAACAGTTTGCAGGTATGAATTATTATTGCTAGGTTTTGTAGATTCAGTCAATGGTACGCCCACATTCCCATTTGATTTATACAATCAATTGGTGCACACTATGAGCAGTATGAGTTAACACATTCATTCGCTATTCAATGAAAATTAGAAGTGGAAGGCTTACCCGCTATTATATCCGCAAATGAGATCCCCTTATTCAGTAGTCCTGCCAAAGCTCCTGCTTCTCCCTTAATTGCAGCCTCAGAGAGCTTATGTTGCTCGGCAATTTATACCATACACCCCGGTGTATAGAGCCATGTACGCCCAGCATCAAAACGACGCCGTATGGAATTGTTATGTAACGGATTTTTTTTTATTAGTCTGTTAACGCCGTCAAACGGTAAGAAGAGGGAAGTGAGAGAGCGGCTCTAAAGACATGATGTCGTCGCGCCGATCATGCATATTGGATTAGAGAACACGAGAGCTACCTGATTGTTCGATTTGCGTCGTATTTTGCAATTGTTGGATGGAAGCCATGTCTGATTCGATTGCACAGCAGGATGTGGCGGAGACAGAGCATACAACTGATCCTGTTGGAGTGGTAGATACAGAGGATGCTAATCCAGGTATTTGATTTTTAAGATTTTATTTTGTATTTGTGTTTGATGTATGATGAATATATTGAACTCGGTGTTGAATTATATAAGAATTGATATAGAATTTCTGTTTGATTGTGGTTGTTTTGGATGTTAGTATGGTTTGATTTGAAGTTGTTGTTTCAGTGAGGTTGTACGTGTATTATATGGTTTGATTTGTTTGGTTTTATGATTATGTGATTGTGCCATATGTGTATGTGTATTGTAGTTATGGATTATGTACATTAACAGTATGCGATATAGGTTTTATGTATTTTAATGATTATGTGTATTGTGCCATATGTTTATGTGTATTGTAGATATGGATTATGTACATTAACAGTATGGGTAGTTAAAATGTATGTTATTTGCAACTGATCAGGATTTGGTAGGGATGTCAGTGTGTTCGGTTGATGAAGCATATGACATGTATAATGATTATGCCTTTAGAGTAGGTTTTAGCGTGAGGAGGGGTAAGCAAAGATATAGTTCTGCTACAAAAACAATGAAAACGAAGATGTTCCATTGTTCGAAAGATGGTTTTAAAAGGAGTACAGGAAAAGGGTGTTATTCTAAAATTGATGGTCGTACAGGTTGTGGTGCATTTGTCCAATTCGATTTACATGAGAATGGGATGTGGATTGTTTCGAAGCATGAGAAGTTGCATAATCATGAATTGGTTCCACCAAGCAAGAGTTACCTTCTAAGGTCACATAGGATGGTGTCTAGGAATCATATATCATATCTTACTGATTTGAAGAGCAGTGGTGTGTCTGTTGCAGATGGTGTAAGATTACTTAAAACACAATCAGGGGGATCACCACTTGTTGGGTTTACAAGTGGGGATGCATATAATTCTCTATGTACCGATGCATTGAACAAATTGGATAGTACCGATTCAAACACATTGATTGAAATATTCAAACGGAGGCAGTCAAGTGAAAGGGATTTTTACTTTGATTTTGAGGTGGATTTGGAGTCAAGGTTGTGTAGTTTTTTTTGGAGGGATGGATGGATGAGGAGATACTATGATTTGTTCGGGATTTGCTAGTTCACGATACAACATATCGTACTAACAAATATGACATGATTTGTGGACCTTTTGTTGGCATGAATAACCATTGCATGAATGTTATGTTTGGATGCGGTTTTTTGATGAATGAGAAGATTGAGTTATTTGTATGGTTGTTTAAGACATTTTTGAGATCTATGGATTACAAAAGTCCACAAAGCATAATGACTGATCAATGTGCTGCTATGGCTGCTGCAATTGTTCAAGTTTTTCCAAGTTCACGACATCGGCTATGTATATGGCATATTGACGAGAACTCAAAGAAGCACATTAAAGGGGGTTAAGAAATCAAAAAGATTTCCTAGATATATTCAATTGCTTGTTGAAGTATACGGATACAGATGCGGAGTTTGAATTTTACTGGACGAGGTACGTGTCTGATGTATGCTTCGTTATTTTATTTTTATTTTTTTTTGTTTGTTTTTATTATTAGTTTACACATGGATTATCATTGAATGAATAGTTGTAGATTATATTATACAGAATACGGAATTATTTTTCTGGATCAAGTTTATGTGTATCTGTTTGATAGTTTATGTGTATTCATGTATAAGATTATGTACATTAGTCTGTTCTGTATGTTATATACTGACATGCTTGTAGGTTTACTTTAATATATCTATGGCATGTTATTTCAGGATGGTTACAACATATAAATGTCACAATAATCATGGCATGTTATTTCAGGATGGTTACAACATATAAATGTCACAATAATCACTGGATTGAAAAGTTGTATGGGTGTAGAGAAAAATGGTGTCCTGCTTTTAATAAAGATTATTTTTCGGGTGAGATTTTATCTTCTCAAAGGAGTGAGACCACCAATCACTCTATTTTCTAGAAGGTTGTCCAAGACATCTGGTTTTGTGTGATTTTTATAACTCTTTTGTTGGGGTCATATCAGAGTGGAGAAGTAGAGAGAATTGGAAGATGTTCGGTGTTCACAAGGTGTACCACAATGGTGATGGATAATGTTAAGATTCTGTTGCATGCTAGGGAAATTTATACAATTGAGATATACTATTTGTTTGAAGAACAATTTTGAAAGGTGGATCATGCTATCAAGAGTGTGTGATGTTGGAAGATGGTGTGTATAAGTATCATGTCTGGAGGCCTGATGTTGATATTATTAGGCATGAAGTGGTGTTTAATAGTAGACAAATGGACATTGGATGTAGTTGCAAGTTGTTTACTGAATTGGGATTTTGTGCTGTCATTGTTTACGCATTCTAAATGTGCATTGTGTTTCTGAAGAACCCGAGAAGTATATTTTTGAAGAGGTGGACTAAAAAATTTTTTGAAGTTGATAATGTTGATATAATGTCTAGAGTTGATAGTGGTAATGGTGCATCTTCTGTTTGGTTATTAGAAATCATTAGGAAATTTCAGAGGCTTGCTGTTTATAGTCAGGAAAATATCGAAGGACGGAAGATTTGTGAAGAAGCAATTGCAGATGCAAAGAGAAAGACTTGAAGCTGAATGTGGTGGCAGTTTATTTGAAGATTGTGACATAGGATCGACAAGTGGTGTTATAAAGGATCCATCTACTAGGCGGATGAAAGGGTTGCGGAATAGGAGGGTGAGCAGTGTTATTTCAAAGAAATATAACAAGCAAGGGGACGGAAGCATCTTGCAAATATGGTTGCTTCCAAAATAAAATCTGCTGTTCCAGTCTCAAGTTGAGGGTGATATTTTAAATATTGCAGGCGATGGATATCTTGTGCACCCAAGTTCCGGAGGTTCTAGTTTTTGTCACGTTAGCACAATGTCAAGCATGGATGATAATTAAAGCACATGTTAGTGTTAATCATCGTAGTAATATGTATCACGTACAGAACGATGTTAAATCACATAACTCAGCCAGTAATAAAATAGACTTTTATTATGATATGTGCTGTTTTAAAAGTTTATGTGTATTAATTATATACTTTATGTGTATTTCCTTATATACTGTATGTGTATTACTTCATATGATTATGTACATTTTTATTTGTGTTAATTACTTTTATTTATTTATGTACATTTCTTTTTTAGATTTGCAGTTATCAGTATAGGGAAATGATATGCTTGGTCATATGTGTATTATGTACATGTTATATTCAGTAGGATGTTTGATTATATATATTAGCAGAAACAAAATATTTGTTAGACTTTTTTTAGTAGTATGTGCACTGTTTGAAAGTTTGTGTGTATTCATTATATGGGTTATGTGTATTACTTCATATGATTATGTACAATTTTTTGATAGTTCACAGTTTTTGTAGTATATGCATTGATTATGCCACAAAACTATATTGTGGAATATGAAAAATATAGAATACAAGTAAACATTAGATTGGATTACCAAAAGGAGCATATACAAATTTTTTGATAATTGTTTATCAACTGAAACTTCTAGAAATTGAACCAAAAATACAAGTAACCATGTGTTTGGATTAGCAGAACTGATTTTTACAGATTGTGGTTAGTAGTTTCACTTCTCTTTCTTGTAGTTGTCCCTTGCTGATTGCATGACTGTTTCCATGTATTCGTTTTTCTTTCACATGATGATGTTTGCTGCATATTTTGCTCTAAGCGATGTAATGAAAGCAGCCTACAGTAAACAAAAGATACATGTTAAAATTAGAAGAAACAAGAGATAACATGTGTAATGTAGAACAAAGTTGATTATTACTTACATCACTATCACCCCCTACGAAACCTGTTTCCCATTTGTCTACTGCAGTCCCTTTGTAAGTTTCCATGTGGGCGCATGCAATACACACCACAATCTGTTGTGTTCTCTTCATTTTGCCATGGCATGTGAATGCACTCAGCTTCGATATTCTTCACTTTTCTTGCAAGGGTGTTTTTCTTCGATTGGAGGTATTTGTAGAAAACTGTTTTCTGCACATTATAGTAATTGCAGTGTTTAATTAATTTAAGTAATGTAAATATTAAACTACAGTGTATAGATATTTAATAGGAGTATTAGTTTATCTTACCAACTTAGCGGGCAGTTCTCATATCTGTTCGTATTTGGTATTCCCTTGGGCATTAGCTTGTTATCAATGATCTGAAGTTTTGACTTGGGGATGTTAAAGCACATCAAGTAGTAGTGATTGCGCCTCAAGATTGTAAAGAAAACCTGAAATGAATAATTAAAAGGTATTTAACAAATTGTGTCAAATACATACATAAATTCAATAATCTTAAAATTCATTATATATATATATATATATATATATATATATATATATATATATATATATATATATATATATATATATATTGTTTTACTTACAAGACTTGCATCTGTGATATCAATTGCAGTCCCCCTCAACTGGTAGTCAATATTTGCACAGAAGTCACCTATATCCATATTCCTTGCTTTTATTTCAACATTTTCAAGCGTCATCTGCAAAGAAGAGGTTGTGTGTCATATAGTACATTGTTTTAAAAAATGCGTTAGTTGTAGATGTGTACTTACGTAAGCAGCTTCCGAGAAGCAGATCCTTTTTGGTTGATCAATTGATCTTTTCATATCAAGCACCGTCAATCTGTGTGCCCAGATTTGCAGGATATTTGTAGCTAGTTGTCTATTTGCCAATGTTGCAATGTCCTCCCTCGTTGCAAACAGATCATGGGCAGAAAACAACATTTCACTGGAAACAAACGAAAACAAGTTGATATTACAAAATAAACATTTCACAATTTAAAGTAATATAATGTCATGAAGTAATACACATAACATATAACCAGGACACCAATGTACATAATATCATGAATGAATACACATAACATATACATGAATACACATAACATATATCAGGAATACACATAATGTGGTATATCAACTGAGAACACCAATGTACATAATATCATGAATGAATACACACAACATACCATGAATACACATAACATATATCAGGAATACACATAATGTGGTATATCAATTGAGAAAACACCAATGTACATAATATTATGAATGAATACACATAACATATATCATGAATACACATAACAAATATCATGAATACACATAATGTGGTATATCAACTGAAAGCATCTGTTATAACAAGTTATAAATGAAATACATACTAATACGGGTACTCAGTTTCATCTGATGGCAGGAATGCATAGTCTGAGATCAGTTTTTCCCTGGCGGAAACATTCTTGAGCTTTGAAATGTTGCTTATCCAGTACGGGGATCGACAAGCCAGAGGGAGGTTTTTGAACTTTCGCTTGGCCTCTTCCGGACATTGACATCTTCAACATCATCTTCAGATTCAGCAATGATGCTTTGTAGAGACAGAAAGTAATTAGGAACATGTTTTAATGTGTTAAGCAGTAGGCATAACAACATGATTAAATAATTAACAAGGATAAATGCACATAAGGATACCGTTAAGTGATATGTGAGTTTTACCTATCAAATTCAATTTGTTCTGGAGTTTTCTATTCAGTTGCTGGTAGTGATTGGGGTGAACCATCAGCTATGTCATCAATGATATTCTCCAGAGTGTTGCAATTGGGGTAAGTGTTGCTGCTGCTGTGTTTCCTTTGGTTGTTTGTGGTGGTGGTGTGGTGGGTGATGCTGATAGAGTTGCTGCTCGGGGTTCAGATGTGGGTTCGGGCGGAGGGTGTGTTGTTTCAGGTGGAGTTGCATTTCTTGGGGCCTCTTCGGGAGTAGCGTCATGGCTAGTTGGCGTTAGGAGATTAAAAGTTGGTGCGGTATGTCAGCAGTTGTCATGTTCTTCAATGTTGCCAGGAATGCCGCTTCAAGTTCAGCAACCACATCCAAGAAACTAGGTTGGTTGTAGATATCATCATCTCGCAGTAAGTTTTCCGTGGGTTGGATTCGGGCTTGGGGTGA